CGTTTATGGGCAAAAAATCTAAAAGATCCTAAAAATTTCCGCTTTTCTGGGTAAATTAGTGGCGATAAATGAAAAACCGTTAAAGATATTTGAACGGTCTCGTAAACTGTGTCGAGAGAGAGTTTCGGGTTTCGTCAATTATACATGGCGCGAGATATTTGAAAAAATATCATTCGACAACGCTATTATTTGTGCAAATATTAATGTTTACCGATTTTTACTGTAACTTTGAAGTTCGACGAGATGTGAAGGACACTTTATATGCACAATTAAATTACATCGACTTCGCGAAAGCTTCATAGTGTTTCGCAGGAGCGAGATAGACAAACATTGCGTCCCTTTACCACACGAAACCGCGAGGTTCTTTCCTTTTAAAAATAAAAAGCTGTTTCGCGCTTGTCGCTATGCCCAGCGACGTTTTTTCGAAAGCAATCTTGTGTAACCTGCCCTTTGTTCTTTTTAAAATTAATGATCAATCAACCAAATGTAACCGCAAATTCCGGAACCGCGAAAAAATCGATAAATATTATTGGAAAAATTAGATTTGCAGAGTAACCATCCCGGAGGCCAAACGTTTTAATCCTTGTAAATGTTTCACAACGAAATAACTGGATTCGTAATATATCGATCATGTTGGAAATATTCGAGATGCTATCGGCGGATAGATCTCCGAACGTTTTAACGGACGTTAAGAAAAAGGCGCGTATACATCACTTCGCTACGGAATTAAGTTGTGAGCCAGACTTAAAGTCGTTTGTTTTCGTTCGGGAATTAATAGCCGTGGTGACTCACGGAACGTTTTTGACGCTTATACGGGTTTTTGGGTAAATAAAACCGTATATCGTAAATTAAGCTTTTCGAAAAATTATTAACGCTAATTTCGCGATTTAAATGCTCGAAACGAATGATAGACATGATAAACTTTCAACGTTTTTATTTGCCTTAAACTTTGTTTGCTAATCGTGAATAACGAAAATTCAGCGTGCACCCATGAATAGTAGAAAATATACGATTTAAAACAGTACTTGTAAAAGAAGCTTTTTTATTTCACATTTTAGAAAAAGTTTAAAAAAAAAGTTGTACTATCTAATGTGTTACATGTTACATGATTTTTTGTAAAATGGAAGCCCTGCATAGTATTTGAGGGATGATATCTATATTGCGAAGTCATTATATATACTTTATAATTTGCAGACGACGGAGTTATCATGGTAAATGAGAAGTATATGGCTTAGAAATCAACATACAAAAAAAATATCTCCCGATTGGGGCTGCAGTTGCGTAGTGTAGTAGTGTAGATATCATCTCATCCTGCAAACGAATGTACCTATCTGGGCGTTTTTTTCTGAGCATAAGAAAAGAAAGAAAGCACGAAGAACAGTCAATGGAATCTTGCGATCTCAAGAAATAGAGAAACAACGACAACAAACGCTTACAAAGACAAACAAACAAAAGAAAATGGTGAAAACTGACGTGTCCAGAAGATGGTTGGGAATGTCTCGTCTAGACAGAATTCCAAATAAGGAATTAAAACGGCGAATAGGCAGGATCATAAAGAACAGAAATCTAAATAAATCGGCTAATATGATATGGTCACATCCACTATCAAAAAAAAACAGGATTGAATAAGAGACTAGGAAGAGGCTAGGAGAAGACCAATACAACAACAGTCAGACGTGGAAATTGGGCATCGGATAGATAATATACTGATTCCTACGGAATTAGCCAAAAATGATCACGGTAGCCAATTCTAACAATAGTTATTATTGCTGGATTCTGCAATATGTAAATTACACAAAAGTACTCCACAGTACTTCTACACTATAATAACCTTAGTTGCCGCAGAACAAACAGTCCAGTATTAAGATTTGCTTTCAATTCACCAAGACGCCCAGACCAATTTAATCTGTAGTTTACCTCTACTATTATTGTGTCAGAGAAGTGGAAAGGTCATTAATATATAGGACGAACAGCAGCGGCCCCAAAACTGACCCCTGTAACACTCGAAACTGTCTTTTACATTTCTTGGTACTGAACACAGTGTTTTCTAGACGATAAACACGACTCAATAAGCTTCAAACAAATTTACCCCAATTCCATACCCTTTTGCTATAACACTACTTGCAATTGTAGCTTATAGACCTCTTAAACAGAGCTGTTTGATAACGGGACATGCAATAAAAACCGCCACGTCGGGCTAAATGTTGGTACCAGGTTAAATTATTATTAATTAATTAATTAACAGCTCATAGCCGTGTTATAGCTTTGTGTCAAATTTAGGCAGCCACAATTTTTCCGAATATCTGATACGTGATCAAACTTTCTCAGTTCACAGCAGTAATATATAGAGGAGTTTTGAAGCCTTGAGTCCTGAACATTTATTTATGTTAGTTAGGCTGAAGTTCTGTACTTGAATTGAAACCGGTAAGCTAAAGGATATTTTTTACTCCCTTTTGTAAAATTATACACTAATCTAGCGTGCGGGAAGCGTCACTTTATTATGTCAGTTTCGTTTTCCACGAATCCGAGCCACTTCGGTCATTTCTGGGATATTACCGCGCCCGTTTGACAGCAATCGGCAGTTTTCGGAAATATCACCACCGGCTTGAATTCTGACGTTTGTCACTTCTGAGGGTAACGTGAGTAAATGCATTAGTGTTGCTTTACAGAAAAGTACCCAAAAACTAACGGTCGTAGAAAAAGTATAGTATGCAACACGTTTGGTAACCTTTAAAGTCACTCGTTTGTTAAACACTCGCTCCGCTCCTGCCAAATAAGCTCATGACTCAAATGCCGTTTGCCCCACTTGCTGCATAATATACTATTACATTAAATTGTAGTTGTTTTTTTTTTCTCTTGATTATAGTAATATTTATAAATTGCCCACGAGTTACAAGGGTAGAAGAAGAATCGTTACTAAATAGGTTGACAGCCGACGTAATTACTTCTGTTTCGTTAAAGACTTACTTTGTAAGTATAAGTGCAAGTAAGTAATATAAGTAATATACTTGAAATTTATGAAGAGTGCTCATGTTGACATTCTGGCAGTACTTGTAGAATCTCTTTTGGAAATGTTATTTATTTCGTTCCAGTCAATGGAAAAAAGAATCACTGATATCTTATACATTTGTTATAAATCAGTGGCCAGTTGAGGACGCCCGGCCCTCACTTGAACAGTAACTCTCGTAAATCTTTGGTGTGAAAAAATTTATAACTGAACATTTTAAATAAATGTCAATAACTTCACGACAGCTGAATGCATTTTGTCAAACGTGATGTTGTTAAAAACGGCTTTTTGTAGGCTATCAATGTTGGGATCAGTAGAATGGTTTCGATTCTTTCTATCGCCGCTTGAGGGCGACATCACTGTAAATAAAATGTATTTAATGAATCAGATTAGATGGAATCACTTTTATTGCAACAAAATTGTCTAACGCCCTAGTGAAAACTGGATTTCGATGTCCTTTTCTTAACCTATAATATAATAAAAAGATTTAAAACTATAAAATGATATCTCATCTTTTGACATATTTTCTGAATTACTGCCATGATTAAACCCCAATTTTCAGTTCTTTAGCAACATACGGTTATAGTTATAGAAATAGAGGCAATTTAAAATTTCAATAAATATTTGGTTAATATATTTCTGTGTGGAGTTACTTTCATGGCCTTTCCAACCTCCATTCCGATTGAGAATCTCTGGACTTATTTAAAAATGCAGTTAGCGAGCATAAAACAATAAATACGCAATGCCTTTGGGAAATAGAGCAGAATTGGAATCAATTCCAATAGGATTTTGTTGTAAACTCGATGATCTTAAACATAAAAGTAATAAAAGTAAGTATTAGGTATTGAAATATATGTGTGCGTAATTTAATCAGTTGATAGCTGTTATATAGGGCTCTATTTTTGTGTCCAGATATTTTGTATAATTTGTATTTATTCGTTTGTCAAATATTTAATATAACAAATTTTATATTTGTAATTTTTTTTTTTGTTACTGATTCGTTTTAGTTGATTGATGTATATATAAATCCACACAATATTCGAAATTTTTTAAATGGAAATGTCCAATCTTAAATTATAATAGTGGTGATTAAATGTCAAACATTGAAATATTACAGCCATTTATAGTGTATCTTGGTTGCCTTATTTTTAAAAAAAATGCCTTTTTCACCTATGGAAGTGCTTGATATACTTCGTGTTAATTCTCAAAACATTGAAAGCGCAACTATGAGATGAAATATCCTGGTTTTATATGTCTTTAATATTAAATATTAATATTAAATATTATCAAAGATTCGGACACACTAGCGTGTTAGACCCTGTCTGTGATATCGTTGCATTAATTTTTTTGGGAAAATTAACTTTATTTGTCATGATGTCGACAAACCCCTTCTAGAGCGACACAAGCAATCGAAAGTTGGACGAAATGCGTTCAGTCATTTTCATTTTCCCTTAAGAGGTATTAGTTATCTGAAATACAAGCGTTGGATTAGTATTTGCAAGTATTACAATGGACCGGTTTCGTTACTTATTGTTATTAAAAAAAAACATATTCCTGCGGATATGCGGGGTAAGTATAAATAAACACTTTCCCCCTCGCATCACCTCAAAAAATAATTTAATTACTATTTCGTAAACTCGAAAAAATCTGACCTCTCAGTGATTCATATCGAACTAGATCATTGAAGAGCCACTTAAAAGAGATTCAAAATGACCTCGAAATGGTCGGAACGATATAAAACCACCCCCAATACCCTAAAATTCGTTTTATTTCTTTCGGAACCTCAAAAATATCTGACGTCCCAGATATAGGATTAGACCATTTTAGAGCAACTTAAAAGAGCTTAAAACTATCCTCAATTATGAAATATCCAAAAGTTGTCCCACTTTGGAAAGCCTTTCACTACAAGTTGTCTTAATTAATTATTGATTTAGTTATTATAGACGTTTGCGGCACAACGAGGCGATCGAGCCTTAAGTGCTACTTAACTTACCTCTGAAGGATCCTTTGACGAAATCCGCTCCTAGCGGCAGACAAAAGCGGCACAAAAGCAGGATCACCGACCAACTGCGAGGCGGGGCGTTGGGCCCCAGGGAAAAGGGGCCCATATTTCCAGTCAGTACTGCTGCGAAGACGCACTAAACCCTCCGATACGGTCCGCGATTGCACATTAATAGCCGTTGCACTCTCGAAAGTCCACTAAAAAATAAAGTTTATTTATGTCTGTTCGTCTGTTTGCAATGCACCAATAAAACTAAATCGGTATCTTTAACGTTGTAGCCGGATGATCGAGGAAAAAACGCACTTGAGATTTACGACTGTTGAAGTGCGCCTGTAAAACGCTTTTAAATTCGGTTTTTGTTAGTTTTTGGACGCTTTTATGGGACGATACAAACGTTTCTGTTTTCTGTTTAGTTTCGGCCGGATTTAAATTCGGGTCGGATCGAGATATCAGAAGTACAAAACGCGACGATATTGATCCTAATAGGCCTTATTATTTTTTAAATTTAAAGGTTTGTCAATGCACACATCTCTTAAATTTATTTAAAGACAGATCTGAAAAAAATTAGTGAAGTTTATTCTACTCCAATATATGTAAGTTCAATAAAACTATATTTTTTAATTCGGTTAGAATTAAAAGAACTTTCCGTGGTTGATAGTTCTTCATGATAAATGAATACCTACCTACTTTCCTGGTCAGCACGATTTCTGTTTAATTCGTTTCGATTCTTGTTTTGTGCTTCCAAAATTTTTTTTTGTTATTTTAGTTGGAATCCGCATTCGGTTTAATTGTGAATTCATATTACTGTTATGGTAACTGCTTGCAATTATTGTCACTTCCGTCCTATTAGGTGAGTTTTTTTAAAATCGAAATAATTAGCAACTAATGTTCTCATTTTTTGTGTATAATTAATTTTACATATGTGTTTAGATAATTTTATATTTTATATTAATTTATATTCATTCATTTTGCGTTACAGTCATCATCTTATATTTATCTATTTTTTTATAAATATATAGGAAACAATCATAATATATATAACATTTGGTCAATTATCTATATAGAAAATAAATATTGTGATTGTCTAAGTAATTAATGAGGTAGAGAGTGTTAAAGGAAAATTCTCGAAAATGTTATTTCCCCATGCCGAGAGCTAGAGCCATAACCATAACTTTCTTCTCGCTCCATTTTTTTGAAAAAAACAACACCGTTTTCGAGATATTCGAATATCCAGTTCAAATCGTCATCGTTATCACCAAAATCCCCCTAATCCAAGTTTTCATGTCCATATTCCAAAACAACGCAACTGGTCTGGATTACCGCTAATGCTGAAGTACTGTAGCTCACATCTTGACAACTGCTGAATCGAGGTAAGCTAATTTCCGAATGATAAACGTTCTTCCGGCATTTTAAAAAATTTACTGCTAACAATATTGTTCCACTTGGGCAATGTGATTTTAAAAAGAAGTCTGGGCCACAATTAGCATTGCTTAATGTATTGGACTGTTCTTGTGCTGTTGGACTTCTCGAAGGCTTTCGACACAATCAATCATCAACTCCGTTCGTTAGTTCGATCAGCAGAGATACTTTCTCAAAAGTCTTACAAACAGTAACAGAGTGCCAGCTGAGACACCATGCCAACGCAAACAGAATGCTACCAGAGAAACAATGAGGATTTCAGCCGGGATATAGCTGCGAGAGTGCTCTCGTCGATATAACGGACGATTTATTCACAGCTGAAGAAAACAAAATCTTGGTATTATTGTTGCTATATTTTAGAAAGGCATTTGCACGAAACCTCTTAATCCTTTCTATTTAATAGAGTAATAATAGAGGACATACGTTCACTACGGGTCTTTTGTTTACCATTTATATTCCTCAGTTTCAGATGTCGCCAAATCACCTTAATTGTCATCTTTGTGCTAACAACACCCAACTATATACAGCTTTCAATGACAGTGACATTCGGAAAAGTAATGATCGTATAAATTCTGATAATTTTTCAAAGAAACTCCCACGGGCTGCTGTAATACTTTTTACAAAACTTTTAGATTCCTCCTGCGTCGGTTTTTATTGAGTCGAACTTGTTAACGTTTCGCCACTCATCCTATTGGCTTCTTCAGAGCTATAATATTGCTACGAATCGTCTACTCAATCTTAGTGCTACTAAATTAGCGGCTGCAATTTTCGCAAACGATGTTCAAGCTGAACATTCGAAAAGTCAGCTCTTGTTAACAATGAATGATTCTCCAATACAATTTCATGATTCCATTAAAAGCCTGGGTTAATTCTTGAATTCTAAACTTCGTTTTGGATCAGCATGTAACTGAAAAACTGAAAAAAGGTCATGGCACTTTAAAGCTAAGTTATTCTTATCATTTATCACAAGAGACCAAGAGGCTGCTTTGCGACTATATGGTGTTGTCTCAGCTTAATCTAGTGTTTACAGCCCTTGCCTTGATGCAGCCGATAAAAGACGAATCCTCATGTTTGATGTCGATTTATGGAATTCAAAGACGCTAAAGAATATCAAATTTTCTCCGAACTGCTTAATTTTAAGTAATACGTAAAGTATTTACCCTTACAATGTGGCTTCACTAGTTTACTCTCTGGATTGGCTGATCTTGGTGGTGCCTACCACGCATTTATTCTTCTGAAACGTCAACACTAATGCTTCTTCATTTTTTCAACTTTTCCTATTCTTCTCCTTTGTTCCTTATCCTTCCCGCTTGGATATTTATTGTGTATTTATTATATATACAATTTTTCATGCAATTAGCAATAAACGTTTATTATTATTATTATTATTATTATTATTATTATTATTTTATTTTTATTATCAAAGCGAAAATATTATGGATATTTTAATAAATGTTTTACTCTTATATCATCATATCTGAAAAATAGAAAGCAAATAATATCTTCAAGCTTAGGTAAGGAGTCATCATCAATTTCTTTTTAAATTTTGTTTTGTACTATTGAGCCACTGGTTAGAAAAGTAAACTATAATAGCCTATATCTCACTAATCATCCCTAGTCTGAATTTTTTTAGAAAAATTATAAGCTATTTTTTTCAAAGTTTGCTACTCTTTTTAAATGACGCTGCAAATCACTTTAAAATAAAATGCATCTCGACCATTTTCAGTTTGCTAAACAGTTTTCGACATAAACAGTTTTTTTTACAAGATGTGGCTAATCTTTAGTTCACCTGAGAACAAAGAATCATTTCAGTCACCATCTCCCATGGCACTGCATAATTGAAATTTTTTTAAAATGTTGTGACCTCATGGACCTCTAGTCAACTCCTGATGGCTGCTCAACTATTGAAGGTTAAGCCAGCTGAAGAAATAACTGATGCTTGATTAAATTTTTTTTGGGATTCATTTCTCCAAGAATTTTAAAGTCGAATAATGTATTTGAATATTTTAATTCAAATAATACAGCAAAAGAAGTAGTCATATTGGTCGGTGTGAAAACTTATTAATGGCCGAGCCTTCACCTGCAGAGTCAGGAAAGTGTCGAAAGGAGCAATCAGGATGTAGAAAAAATGTTCCAGATAACGACAGTCAAAACTGGCCCTTTCGCATTATCGAGGAATGTGAAGGCTATTTTTGGGGTCGACTTTCCAATGTGAATATATTCCACTAATTTGGTGCCTGAGACCATCTATATCATTATATCCTCAGTAGAAGACGTAAAACAAATTCTTGCCCTTCAAAAAAAAAACGCTAAGTGCGACTACTATTACCGATTATTACGTTTTACCAGAAGAGCAGACTGTTCAACAGAACAGAACGACAATATGTCTCTGAAGACGTAGGGAAAAAGAAACTAGGGAAATAGGGAAATTGCTGGTGTAAAAAAAAATGTAAACTTTGCGACATAGAACAAAAGAATCGCTAAGAAGATGCTTGAAAATACGATGAAAAAGTTGAAAAATTTATCCATCGTCCACTATTGCAGGGATCAAGGGATCTGAACCTAAAAATATATTACGAACAATACTGGAAATACAAAATGGCGTTTACCAAACAGGCACTGCAAATTAAGGCCTGAAAAGGTGGTTTATTAGAAACGAAGTTCCTGTAAAACTAACAAAAATGAATGTGAAAATGATGTGCTTTGAAAGTAGTTCAGCATCTAATTCTTTGTTCCCATTTATATCCCTATTTGTCTTTATTTGTTTTTCTTTTTTTAAAAATATTTGTCACCAATGAAATGCACCATGTAAATTGATTCGAGCTTTGCATAGGTTTTGGTCGTCTGTTCCACAGTTATAGCACAAAAAATTATCATTGTTGCTGACACGGGACAGCAGTTTATATAATGGAGGATTTGATATTGTGGTTGCAATATGTACACACAATTCAGTGGTAAATATCCTATAGTAAATAAAGATATTTTATTCCGAATGCAACAGTAAAAACTGTTTGATTGTAATTAGGTCGACGCGTATTTACAGACCATTTCCGAGTATCCGCGCGCGAACGTCGTTACATGATTTCCAATAAAATTTACAATCCCAACAATTGTGTGCCGTTATTTAACATATTTGATTGGGATATTTCTATTTTGAATTTAAAATTCGTTTCAAACGTCCGCGTCAACAATAAAAATTGAATTTGAAAGTGCTCCCCCCTATTCGATATTCCATTATTGTATCCGACAAAACAATGATATTGTTAATTCGAATTCGTTTTCATCTTTAGTTTTTCAAAATAAATAAGAACTAAAAGTTCAGATTTTCACGATTATATATATATATATATATATATATATATATATATATATATATATATATATATATATATATATATATATATATATATATATATATATATATATATATATATATATATATATATATATATATATATATATATATATATATATATATATATATATATATGATGACTATATTCCGGGATATCATCCGTTCGCTCGTTGAACTCCGACTGGAATCCTGCAGACGTTTCGCCAAAATCTCACTTGGTATCTTCAATGCTCGCTCCGAAAACACACTGGTGTTCGAAGTGGCATCTTCAAGAGGAGCGGTTCAAGCAGCTTTTCTTTTAATCCTAGTTATTTTAAAGAGTTTCGTAAAACAAATCGAATGAAATCACTCAAATTGAAGGAATTCATTAACAAGACTATTTTTCTTCGATTTTTTTAATACTTTAAAATCAAGCTTGACTGCTGAAAATCAAATCTAATGAACTACCCACGAAGCCGTTCGATATTGTCGGCTCAGTTCTACAGGGACAACAATTTATAAGCCCGATTTCCTTGTTGATATTTCTGTTCGTGTTGTCAGTGACTCATAAACTGAGTTGAACAAAAAAGTACAAGCTTTGAAAGATTAACGTTGCCAAAATAAACAAAAATAATTTGGGACCTGTCATGAATCCTACTAATCAATGTGAGGCTAATTGATGGGAATGCAGATTGAAACTCTATAACAAATAACTCTTTCTTCATTAACCTATGATGTTGTGTATTTGGGGTCTTAGGAGCGCGAAAGCAATTGAGAGAGAAGAAAAGTATGTTTTTTAAAAAAATTAAGTCCCTAAAATGTGTTTCAATAGTCTAAAATCTTAGCGACTCCAGTAATTCAACGCACAACTGGGTCAATCTAAAATGACGAAAACAGTTTAGCAAAGACTTCGTTTTTAACTTAAAATTGTGGTGGAGTTCTATCTATCTACTCTGGCATAATTTCCAACGTTAGATCATCCAATACTACATAAATCTCTTATAAATCAATTGTAGGCTCTCGAGACAAATGAGTTCTGCTCTATTTGCAACTTACTTGAGGAGGAAACAGACCATTTATTTTTGAAATGTCTCTTCATTGCAGTTACTCGAGTCCCTAGGGATATATTGTGAAATTCATGTTAAAGGTTCGGTCTTGCTTATTGAACATCTAACTTTAAATTTCTATATATTCTCTTGTAATTGATGTTTTTTTGTTTTTGTTTTATGTGGTGTAACTCTTTTCTCCTTGCATTTTCTGCTAGTGATGGACACATTGTAATAGAGGTTTCTCCTAGATGCAATAAATGATATATTTATTATTATTATCAATATTATTAAAAAGTTCAGAAGAACATTCAGAGAAGCACATGCCGCAAGTAGTTGATCCCTGCTTCGGATATCGAAGAGGACATCGAGAATCTGCCAAAAAACACTTCAGAAGATGATATTCCTCTTTTAATGAAAAAGTCCAGACAGAATATAAAAGGGAAATCCAATGCATGCAGTTTAAATCCGAAATAGCTTCCTGTGGCCATATAGTTAGAGACACGTGGCGACTCTCTTTATATGAAATGATAACTGCGTGTGGTTTTAGGTCTTTAATAACCTTTAATAAACCTTTAATAACGGTGTTGTCGAATTTTTATTAGTAATTTTATACCCTGTTCAAGTTAAAATAAGTTAAAATTTTGTTTTCCTTTATTAAATACCAATTTAGTTAGTTTTATGGATTTTTACTACGTGAAAAAAAAATGTAACTCGGGTGTGTTATAGTTCTGACATTAATTATTTTATTTAACCATCTCTGCAGAGATCGTACTTTTCTTATGTAGCTATGAGCAATACCATCCCATCCATCTATAATTTGGACGGTTATGTGGCAATTAGTAAACCGGTTACTTGTGGTACTCCAAATTTAACGGTTTCTCAATTCAATAAATTCCATCAGTTCTTTTCCTTCCTCCGAATAACTTGTTAGAATATCAAATATTGTTCCACGTAATGAATAATTGCTTAGTTCTATTAGGAGCGTCTAGAGCCATAACTGGGTATTTCAGAGTAGACATTAGAAAAAGGAATTCTATCGACTTTAACAAGATAATGGCACAAAACATAACTTTAATAGTTTTTAATACACATTATTTCTTGAACTGAGGAGGCTTTTATATGATGAAAATCCGTTTATCAAAGTAAATAAGAACTATAAGTTCAGATTTTTACGAAAGTACGTACGTACGTGTCTTCTTCAAATGTCATTTGATAAAGACACGGTGTTGTCGAAACAATTGTCATGTCAAAATATATAATTTCGTAATAATCTGAACTTTGAGTTCTAATTTATTTAGACATTATAGCGGCTGCAATTTGAGCGAGTGTAAAGCGATTTTTTCGAAATAGATGCCGGGTTGCGATGTCAGTCCCGCGAACCGGTTCGAACAAGTTCAAGTGATTTCGAGCTTTTCGTCGATCATTAATCCGTAACTACGGGCGGGCCTGTCATTTGTTGAACCACATAAAGCGTAGTGCTTGAGGTGTCTAATTAGGTGTACTGTTAAGGTATGCTAATTCGACGACATAATACAATGTTACGTTGTTAATTAATGATATTTCCAATAACCGTAATATAATAAAGTCCGGATATGTAGTTGGATGTAAAACTAGTAGCTCTAATACTCTTTCTCTTGGTACTTGGGACTTTCAGAATTGAAACATTACAAAATTTTATTTAAAATGCATCATTCCTGATTTCGAATATTATGTTAAATGTGACGCGAGTGGTAAAATATGGAAAATTAAAATATGGAAAATACATACGAGCCCTAACAACTAAATATTCGGACGATGTAAAAAATGATAAAAAAGACATTTTTATATCTATTTCAATTTTTTTTTTGCTTTGTCGATTGAATAATCAATTTACGCACATTACGATAGCACAGAAAGTGCTATCGTAATGAATTAGTTTTTATTTCGCATGTATTACATAGCAAAATAACGGAAACATACCAAATTTGCTGACAAATAAATATTCGGGCGTCCAAGAAATCAATGCTACCCATGCCTTGATGGTAAAATGTGCTTAGATAAATGAGATGTCAGTTCGGGTTGTATCTTTCAAGTTTGTATAATAGTTGATAAGAAAATGACGCGTGGTGCTGCAACAAACAAAAAAGTACGAGTAATTATCATATCTCAGTACTGCAGAGGTAAATCAATGCAAAAAATTTCAAATGACTTGAGTTTTGCAAAATCAGCAGTCGGGGATATTATAAAAAAGTATGGAGAGACCGCTAGTGTTAGCGTTCGTGGTAAAAGTTCAGGCCGACCCCGTAAAATCACTGAAAGAGATCGTCGTATTCTGGCCAAGATTTGTAAAACTAGCAGACGAAGCGTCTTACGACTAATTCAAGCCCAATGGAATCACGAGGCAAAATTAAATGTCTCCAGGGAATGTTGTAGACAATGGATGCATAAGTCTGGTTTGAGTTTTTATAAGGTAAGTTTACAATTTTTCCTGGTTCAATATAAAAATGATTAATATTCTATGATCCATTTTTGTTAAAGGCAAAGGAAAAACCATTATTAACGTCTATTCAGAAGAAAAAACGTTTGGATTAGGGAAAATCTAAAATATCCTGGACAACGGAAATGTGGAGTAACGTTATCTACAGCGACGAATCAAAATTTGATGTGTGTGTAGGCGATTTTGAAAAAACGGTGATTCGTGCAAAATCACAAAGATTGTCTAAAGCGCACGGTAAAATTTCCCCAGGGTGTTATAATATGGCACTGTAAATGCAGAAAAATTGATTCCATCAATAGAACGAATTTTTGGAAATGAAAATTTGGACTTGAATATTATATTATTGAATCTTTATGGCATCGGATGAAAAAGACTTTGCGTAACAATCCTCAGCGTACAGTTCCAGCATTGAAGGCAAAAATCGCCGAAATTTGGAACACTTTCACCCCTCAATATTGCAATATTTTGGTAGATTCCATGCCAAAACGCATAAAAGCTGTTATTGCCGCGAAAGGTGATGTTACATCTTATTAATGTTCGATTTAAAGTAAAAAATTTAAATACGTCCGAATATTTATTTGTCAGCAAATTCGGTATGTTTTTGATATTTTGTTATGTAATTTATGTGAAATAAAAAAAATAATTCATTACGATAGCACTTTTTGGTATAAAAATTGGTGCGTGATTTCATTTTTCAATCGAAAAGGCAAAAAAAATCAATTTAAAATATGTATAAATATGTTTTCTTATTATTTCGTACATCGTCCGAACAATTAGTTATTAGGGCTCGTATAAAGATACATATGCCACCACCTATGAGTTAGACGCATAAATATTGCGAAAAATGAAGTGGTCATACTTTTCTGTTTTTGAAAAATTGAATAGTTATCGTCTACCACCACGTTAAAATTTTGTTTTGTTTTAGAAATTTTGGAGTAACGATGACGCTCACAACTATTCCACGTTGCAAAAAAATTGAAACACGATGTGGTCGACTAGCAGGTCGATTTTAAATACAAAGCGAATCTTTCCTTTGCTATGTGCAAAAAAAGGCCATTTGCAGGAAGAAACAAAAAATAACAATAACAATTTTGGCCATAAAGTTTTCGGGATTTTTTTGAGTCGACTTGAGCAGGTATTATTTAGATCATCTGACGTTCTAGGTTATTGTTGCTTGTTTTTATTTAGTTTATACCACCGTAGCTGGAATCAATGTTCTGTAGGACATCGGTCGATGTCGCTAATGACGGAAGTATCTCCGACTTTATCTCCTCTTCATCCAAATGAAGCGCAAAAAATTTATGGATGAAACCAACCTTAAAAGTGCGTTTCATAGTAACTCTAGAATATTTTGTAGATGCTTTAAGATTTATTCGGGTTTTTGCAAAATAAGCTATAAAACTCCATTGGTAAAAGCTTAATAATAAAATTTTTGAAAAATAAGCAACACCAAAGGTTTTAGAAATTAAGTAACGGAAAAATTTTGGCTGCAACGTTATAATACCTAAAATATTTTGGCGTATATTGCAAGATTCACAAACCTGGTAACACCAATGGCTTTTTCTTATAAAACTATACAAACTGTTATAAAGTATCTGGTGTACCAGCTGTTTCCACTCGAGTTTTGTGAAATCTTTGTGAAATCATAACGTATATCTAAAATTTTTATGTTTTGAGCCCTTTCCATTTTTCCATTTTCCATTTTTAAATAGTTAACAAAATAATCTAATAAATAATTAAATGACTATTTATACGTAGTTTGTAGATTGTGTCTAAGGCGTGACGTTCGATTGCATGTTAACCGATTCAACAAACTCACTTGGCATTTTTAAGTTTATATGCCGTAAAGGTAAGGTCATACAAAATATTTTCTCTGCTATTACTTATAGACATTCGTAGCTGAATGTGTTAAACATTCAGTTCTCTATGAAAAAAATTACTTTCTTAAACTTTTAGAGAAAGAAAAAATTAAGAAATTTAGAAAATGTATGAAAAACTCACAATATTCTTTCCCACTTTTCAGAAAATTGTTTTTTTGACTATGCAGATTTCAAAAATCCCAACCGCAATGTTGTCAGATTTACCACTTTTAAGTTACACGTCATAATTTTGTTATTTTAAACGGAATGTTCTGTATATATTTTTTTATTTTTAAAAATAAATAATCAGCCAGTTGGTTTTCAAATACGCTCGAAATTGTGTCTCTGATAGAGTTTAGACCAGCTCCAAGTCTCGATGAATTGCAAGGGAGACCCGCTAGTGCAGTTAATAAAAAAATCTTAATATCTTACAATTGTGGAGGTTTGAACATTGAGCATCGAAAGTTTTGAAGTTGGTTTAGAAAAATTTGGGCAGCTTTGGGAATTTTTGAGATATTTCAGCCCTCCGGTACTTTTTACTAAGCCGATATATTATTTTTAATTTACAGGTTTTTAATTGTGACGCGCACTATAATGGCCGTGCTTTAGGTGAACAGAAATCCGAACTTTTGCAGATAAGTCCTGGAAAGGCTTATGGCCTGGAGGTTACGTACAGGGTGTTTTGAAAATAAGGTTTTGCATGGGAGTTTTAGAAGCACAGTTTATTGATATTTTTTAAATAGAGCACAGCGTGTATATATTTCGTTTTCGAATTCTAGAAGAGAAACTAACCTAATTTTATTCAAGTTTCCTCCTGCCGTCTTTAAAATAAAAATATCATATTCTGTCAAGCTCAGATCATTATATATATTTCTAAAAACTTTGTTAAACTTTCTTGAAAATAATGGTGTATAAAAATCGGGTAATTTTTAAATTTCAAAGACGGCAGGAGAGAATTGTGGTTAGTTTGACAAAATTGCATTTAAGTTCTGAAGAAGCCAAGTTGATTGGCGAAACGTCAGCAAGTTCGATTCAAGAACAACCGAGGAATACAGAAGATTTGTAAATAATATTGGCTTAATCTCTTTCCCAGAAGAATCACCAATCACAATTGGTGCATCAGATTTTACACAAACATATGATTTCACTGGTTTCAGATTTCATGTATTATATAAAGAGTTCATTCATTTTAATTGATTTTGTAGACTTTCAGACCATTCTGAAGAATACTTTTTAGGTTATGTGGAATATTGCATTGCGTCTTAATTAAAAATAATATATAAAAAATACACCTAAAAAATAGGAAATCGTATTGTGATTATAAATTATACAATATTTCAAAACATAAGATTCTAAATATTTCGTTTATTTTTTTTCCTTAAAGTTTAATTTAGATAGCAATTGACTTGTTGCTTATTTAAAGACGGAAGGAAGGTGCTAAAATCTCAAAATTTTCGAAATAATTTATGTTTTCATCAAGATTTCACGGATTTCACAGAGCTGGTACACCGTATGTATGCCAGGAAAGAATGAATGAGCCCTTCCAGACACTATATGGAACAGTTCAGCTTAGAATAAGATAAGAAATTACATTTTATTTGAACAAAATCTATTTTGTTTCTTGCGTAAAAATCATAAATGAAGTGATATACAGGGGCTGCCAATTAAACTAAGTACGATGTTGCCACGTTTATATAGAAATAAAAATGAAAATAAAATGAAATCTTTTAAATTGTTACCCGGTTCGCTAAGAAGGCTTTGAACTTTCACAGGATGGAACCCTCTGTCTTGATTGATTGACGAAAAAGCAATATAGTTGGAAAGAAACTAAAATTAAATGAAAATGAGATTTATTCTGGCCATGGGAGAAACTTTCTTCGAGATGACGGTGTTTTTATTTCAAAGACTGCAAAAAAAAACTAGGGTTAGTTTCTTTTCTATAATTTAAAGAAGGAGGAATGAGGTGTGCTATTTAAAAAATAAGCAAACAATAAAAGGTGTTACTCGAAATCGAGTACAAAATCCTATTTTCAAACACCCCGTATCTACCTTCACACCGTATATACGTCACCCCATTTTTATTTCAATAACAGTTAGACATAAGCACGGAGAAATCTGAACAAAATCAATTTCGTTTCTCGCCAATCATATATAACCTACCCCCTGGCCGCGTTTCATTTATTTATTTTTTTTTTATACCGGTAGATAAAATGAGATTGTTTCTATCGGAATATGCTCTAAGATTTTGTATTATTAAATTGGATAATGAGAGAACAAAACAAGTATAGTGGAAGAGGTGAACCGACATATAATTACTGATGTCTTTAATAATTCTGTTTATCCCATGACCACCACCATGACCATAAAAATTAAAGCTGACAAAGATCTAAACTGTGCTGAACTAGTTCCATAAAAATTCTTTTACCGCTTTTATTTTCCTGCAATTGAAGATCAGTTTTGTGTATTCATTGTAGAGCTTGCACAAATGGTTGTATTTCAGTCACTAAATATCCCGTTGTTTAGCCGAAATATATTTTTCGTTAAGAATTTGAGAAGGGTTGCTATGATCCCTTATTCTCTTCAAAGATTATTTAAAAATTCGTCCAAAAGTAAATGAGTTTACTTCAAAGATTGCGACTTCATATATTGAAAGTGACAGAACCGTTTTTGGTTTTTTTGAAATTGTTAAATTCGGAAAATACAGAATACAGATTATAGATTATTAGCCATCATTGTTATGTTACCTACTTGGCCAGAATATATTTTTCCTATGTCTATTCCTGTCTCAACTACGCCTTGGTTTGTTGGGGACGTTGCCACGTTCGTCTTTAGGACTATACTGTTAAAGCAGTGGAATTTTTCATTTCCACAACACTCTTTCTTGACACTTCCTGCTATGTACATTCTAAATTGTGCCACTTATGTAAAAAGGAACTCTAATCTTTATATGCTCTCAAGAAACTCAGATATCCAATATAATTTAAGACCGAATCTTAACATAAAAATACCTACACATGACTGTCTCTTACATCAAATAGTCCTTTTGTTTTGGTTGCACAAATTTATAATAAATTGCCTATCGAACTGAAGAAGGTAGCTAGTCAAACAAAATTAGTTGTTAGTTTAGTGTATTAATTAATATTATTATTATCATCATTATTAATTAATTATACTAAGATAATTTTTTTTTATTATACTGACAATATCTTATCTTTTAAACTTTAAGTTAGTAATAACCACAATTGCTAGCTGGACACAGAATAGATATCAATGTTGCTTTTAAAAATGACCCACCAGCTCAGCTTGCAAAAAAACGACGGGCGTACCGTTTCTCTAATTAAAAATATCTCGTCATGTGGAATCCCGACGATTATTCATTTCCGGTCTTTTATTTCCTCCAAAACTAGTCACGTACCACGATATTAACGGTGCACTACGCCGAAATCTGCTCTATACTACTCGAAACTCACACCATGTCGCAATCACAGAACACTAAAAGTTCGCTGAAAAACAAATCGTCCGGTCCGACGACGACTACGATCGAAAGATACGAGAGAAAAACAATTGCACCTGCAATGTTGGTCCGATGCCGCCCGTGTGAAGGATACCCGATACAACTGGCTGGCTCGTTTAAGAGATAGTAGGTATATCGGTCTATGGTGTCGCGGTCTGCTCGGCCACTATATCCCATTCACCACTCGTTTGTAGATTTGCGTGTGTGTATGTGTCGGTTGTATGGGTTTTCGATCGTATTAATGGCCTTCTTGTTTGGCGCGGCGGCTTCGGTCCGCGTAATTGGCTTGTTTTTTCCTTTGGACGCGTTTTCTTTTGTTTTTTCGGAAACGGCGTTTCCCGGAAAAAATTTAATTGTTGGATATGTTAAATTAGTCGCTACATCATCCGCGTAGTCTGGAATATTCTCCGAACGTTCTTCTCCAGGTATGGGCAATCTTTGACATGCTGCGAGATTTAACACCCACACGTGCGAGATGTAAAATTTCATTTTTAACCAATGCCAGCTTCAAATGCAAATTCTGACGTTGAACCCATCAAATCTTGCGGCTTTCAACAAGCAACATGGCCGCTGACACATCGTAATGCGGCGTTTTTTTCTCAGTATTTTCTCAATATATGTCGCAATCCTATTAAATTTTCAGGCTAAAAGGGAGTTGAGGTGTGGAAAAGCAGTGCAGAATTGCAGCACCCGCGTCAGTATCATAATTCTGTAATTAATTTGGCGTTTGTGTTCTTTAAGCCCTGTAGATATTATGCAGTTTCTACATGTATTTTTTCATGTTAGCTTTTTTTTCCGATTTTAACCTCTATCGAAGATGTAGACAAAGTCGAAATTACGAAAGAAGGCTGTTAAAAGTCTACATAAAACTTTGAGATGCTAGATATCCCACAAAAAACATCTAAATGAAAAGCATGAAGGAGCTTCTATATATATAACGCTCATTCCTTCATCGCAAGTCTAGTAAATAGATTATTATGAAAAGTGAGAACAGACAATTTGTTTAAAAAATTATAGGTATTGGAAAACATAACTACGAAAATTAAAGACTATTATGAAACAAGTTAATTTTGGAAAATTAATAAATTAATATAATTAGTATATTTTATTTATCATTTCAAAGAAACATCCTCGTTTCTAGTATTGGGATTATGGCTGTTTCTTATACACCCATTTTGAAACAAAAATGGAACAGTTAAAGAAGTAACAAAAAATGAAAAAAGGTACCATTTGGCACTCTAATATGGATTGTCAGGTATCATCGAGAACTAGAATGACCAGAAAACAAGTAACCTGATGTACAATTGATAACAATATCTACCTAAAAGACACTAATGAGGATCTCTTGTTTCCAAGTTGTGCGTATTATATTTTTTCAGATATATTTAATCAGTGTCAAATTGTGACCTTAGCTGCTTAGAATTGCTGGTAATTCTCAAAAATTTCCTGCAGTTATATTCTTCCTGTTGCCAATGAACTGACCAATAGAAAGTAAATTTCGTTTTCTCTAAAATTGATGAAAAAACGAAAACTTTCCCATATTGATTTTTACTAGGATTTGTAGTTGATAAGGGATGTTTTTTATACTTGTTCTAACAAAACTTCAGCTTGCACCTCATTGGTTTTCTTATATTTTAGCATATTTAAATATCCTTCCTGTAGCTATTTAAGTGTAAGGAATTCTGTTTAGTAAATTGACATGTAAATGTGTAAATGTGTTTTCCAGTTAGCTAAATGATAAATATATACGGATTCTATAAGATTTTTGCCACATTTGCGGTAATTTTGGTAAGGAACAAAGTATTGAAAACACAAACTACACAAGTCTGTGAGTGGGAGTCCTATATAAACCACTTGTACTTAAGGCAACACTTGCACATTCTTTTTCTTGCAGTTTTCACCACAAACACAAGTTTTCCAGTGGGTTGGTATTTTGATCACAAAAACATGAAAAGGCTGCGGAGATATTAACGACAAAAAAGAATGGCACTGGCCACAGACTGTTCTGTGACAATTGTAATTCCTTAGCTCGGCGTTGCCAATTATGTTCAAATTTCAGAGATTGATGATACGTTTTTATAAAAATAAATCAATTTTCCAGGAAAATTACGGCAATGTCACAAGTCAGTCAGTTTGGGGGGTGACGCATGCGCAAAATGTCATAGCCACCTGCGGCGCACCACTTTTTGCCGTACTAGGGCTAATTATCCTATAGCGCTTCAAAGGCAGCGATTAAACGTAGTGTTCATAATTTTTAACAATGAATGTTACATATTAAATAATAAGATGAAATGAGAAAAATACGTACAATATTATAATAAAATCGTGAAATTAAACAGTTAAATAGTTAAAACAGTTTGAATTTGGGATACTTAGATTAACTCCACTAACTCAAAGATGTAAAGAATTCTCCAAATTCTCATTCATGACGGAAAAGAACTGTTCGCATTTACAAGTATTGCCAAACGCACAAATTTAGAGTTTAGTTTTAACAGCGTTATCATGTTGTGTTTTTTGTTGCGAAACGTTTGCTGTTGTTTTTTCAAATTTGTGGTGAGCTTCTGGATTTTTCCATTTCTTATTTGTGCCGTCAGTGAGTGCAGCATAGGACGATTAGTTGAGTAGTAATGCCTCTTTATATTGAATTATTTCATTGCTCAAATGGATTCATTACACAGCAAACAAATAGACCTACATTTTTGCGAGATAAAAAAGAATTATTTTGCATCTATTAGTAAGCACTAAAATCACAAATCAAGTTGATGGCACTAGCAATTCGCTAGAGTATCGCTTGTCGAAGCGATATTCCCGCTGGCTCAAATAGAACTGAACTAAAGCTCGGGAGACCCACCCACTACGATCCCACCCAAAAAGATCTAGAATCGGCTGGTGTAAGTAGCGTATTTTTTTTTAATTGGGTTTTTCAAAATATCTCTTCATCAAATCTGGCAAATTTCAGCACAGTCGTCTACTCTGTTATAATTTTTTTTAATGTTTCCAATTCTATTGACATATTATGATATTAGAGACTCCATGTTATACCGGAATCTCGAAATTCTTTGCTAACCTTTACAATAAAACCCAAGTTTTTTACGAATTTTTCATTATATTTTCAATATGGATATCAAAACTTAGTTTGGTGTCTATAGTTATTTCAAGATCCCTGATAGGCTGTACATCTTTGAAATTTACACCATTGAATTTATCATCGAAAACTACATCACTTTTTAATTTAACAGTCGATTTCTTACACAGTAGTTATAAAACCTATCAAGATCGCCCTGAAACTTGCGACGGTCATCGATATTCTCACAGGCGTGTAGGATTTTCGGTCATGAGCATGTGAAATAAAAAAAAATAAAACGAAAACATTTACCTGCGTCCGCTATGAACAAAGAGTACAGCAGAGGTCTCAAGTGAGACCCTTGACATCAGGAGATTTAGATTTAGTCCCATTTAACTTAACGTACTGGGTCCTAGATATTAAGAATTTTGTAAAGATAACCGTCCACACCGAAGTTTTTAGGTTTTACTAATATTGTAGGACGATGTACCCATAAGAAGGCCACGTTCCGTTTCATCAAGAACTCACCAAGGTTTAAAAAGTAACTCCTCTTTTATAATTGCCTCAAGTGTATTACCTGGAATAGAAAGAACTCATGGGGTCGATAATTTATAATATCAATCTTACTGCAACTCCTTCGCACGTTTCCAAATAGTCGGGAAGTGCCCTTCGGATAAACTTTTATTGAAGATTAAATATAGCTTCAGCAACAGAGATTCCGCACAACATGTAAAAAAGATCGCGGATTATTTGTTTGCTCCAGGACCTTTATTTATATCTAGTTTGCTTAACTGAATGCTAATTTGCTGTTCAGAAACAGAGTTTAAAATAACCATATGAAATGGCGTATCTACCAACGGGATATTTGCAGGAGTTGCGGCAGAATAATAAACACTACAAAAAAAAACACATAACGCTTCTCATATATCTGCGTCCTTTTCGCTGGTTTCCTCTGATTGCTTACAAAACTCCAAAGTGATTTTACATACTCTTAGAAATAATCTTTGCTCATAAAAATGTTCATAACTTTTAATGATATATATCAGACATATATATTACAATTTATTAAAATAATAAAATGAAATGAAAAAAGAAATAGGTACAACTAAAATAACAACAATGAAATCAATGAGACACTTGAGCTTGAATTTGGGAAACTAATTTGTCGATGTTTGGACAAAGACGTAAAAAAGTTTCCATGTTATCGTCAGTCAATTTTGTACGATGTTTGCATTTATTTAATCCCACTTAACTCAACGTGATCAAAAATTTAGATTTTAGGATTAAGTTTCCTTGAATCTTGATCAACTCCATTTGCAAATGTACTCAGAAAATTATTCCTAGAGTAACTTGAACTCTTGGGTATATTGAACATAAACAATATTTCCATACGCAGAGAGCGTGGTGAAATGACTACTATTACCAGACAGCGTCTGTGCCTCTCTGAAGCGGATCTTCTTTTGAAACGCATTCGTATGACCGTACAAATCATTACTAACTGTCTTTGTTATTGAAGTTACAAATTTGAATCATTCAAATAACCTGTAATGACATTTTGGGTCACTTAACACACATAGTGGGTCCCTTCAACGACCTCATTGGCAAAAAAATCATCATCTTAGTAAAAGGACTTGAAACTCTGTCTGTGGCATGAATAAAACTGTTGTTATTTCAATATCCGCCATTTGATGCATCAGTATTTAATTCTGCAACAAATTTCCTGGAATACTAAGACCAGAAATATTTTGCTTTTACAACCGACCCTGTGATTAACTTTGCCCACTGTTTACTACTCCAAAACCGCAACAGCCCCTTATAGAACACTCTGCCGACCGTCCTAGGAATTTATCGACTTACACTAAACATGTACATAAAAAAATTAGTACAAAGTAACAACTCATTACTTTCTATTTCATTACACTTCCACATAATATCCAAAATATTAAATATATTAATAATAAAGTATCAGTCACTTAAAAAATCGTCACTATCGCTACTGTCGTCACCTAATTCAATGAACAACTCCGCCATTAATCGTTCTCGATAAATATCTTCTTGTTTTATTAATCGTTTTTCACAGTTAGACCAGCTTCGTACTGATATTTTA